TCGAACTTCAAACTATTAGCAGAGAAGATAACCAAAAGGCAGATGCGCTTGCTAAGATTGCACTGAACGAAGTTGAGAATTTTCAGATTCTAAGTCGTAGCTCGATGACACAGACGATGATGGATTACAGCTTTATTTAGTTTACTTGCTTTCCAGCCTATCAAAAAAAAAAAAAATACTCTCAGGTCTTATAGGACCTCCTATTTATTTTGAGATTTTAAGGGACCTTAGATTAATAAATTATGTTGCTTGGAGGCTGTGTGTAATTTTCCCAAAATGAAATGAAACTATAAGCACCAAAGAAATATTTTAACTTTCTTTTTAAACTTTCTTTTGGATTCAGAAAATAAATCATTATAACTACTTATGAAGAAACAATTTAGCCAAAATTCTCAAATATTTTACTAGAAAAACATTTAATCTGAAAATTCCTTCACGGCCTCACCGCCTTCAACATAGGCCTGAACGTAACCCAAACAAATGGACTTCAAAGACGCTGGGCTAAGCTAACTTGGTCTGGTCTACAAAATTAAATGTATACGAAAATTATTTTCTTTTTTTTTTGGTAACAACGAGGGCAAAGCCCAACTAAAAACTAAAACAGAAGGGGATTAAATCCCAGTAAATCTTGTTCCATAATTGTCCGTAAATGTTGCGGACATCGATCTAAGATAGCTGAATAAGAGAGGCTTTCCTTTGATAACGCATCAGCAAGAGAGTTTTTGTCTCTAGAGATGTATCTCAACTGCAAGTCCCAATCAAGAGTCTTCATGTCCCTGATCTGCATAAACACCAAGCTACAAGAGCCAGATATAGAATTGCTCAATAGCATGTCAATTAATGTTTTGGAGTCAGATTCAAGAATTATTTTCTTCAATCCCCTCTCCCAAGCTATAGAGAGACCTTTAAGTATTGCCCATTCCTCAGCTTCTAAAGCATCACATATTCCTAATCCATGTGTAAAACCTGTTATCCATTCACCATTGTGATTTCTAAAGACACCCCCACATCCAGCTACATGTCTAGTTGAAGACACAGCACCATCAACATTGATTTTAATCCAATCAGCCGGAGGTGGTTCCCAAGTTGCTGCCTCATTAGTAGCAGATAAGCTACCAACTGAAGCTAAATCAGTAGCTTCTACAAAGGATTTCCAAGATTATACGAAAATTATTTTCAATATAAGGGGGAAAACAAAGGGAATTTGAGGGCATCAGGAAAGTATATGGGTTTTGCCCAACGAAAAGGGAAAAATAATTTTAAAAAAAATATGATTTCAAATAAAATAAAATAAATAATTTAAAAAGTTCACAATTATTTGTGGGACAATTTTATAATTAACATATGTATTTACTTATTCTATACAGTATAAGGACCAGCTCACAAGCTATTGAATCAAAGTTAATGTCCGCTGTATATGTCATCAGCAATTATTTCAAGTAGAAACGCCACCCCCCATCGTGCTTGGATAAGATTTTCAGGTTTAAACCTAATGTTGACATGTTTATTCATGTGTGTTTAACTTATATAAAATAAAAAATTCAATATATATTTTTATTCTATAAATTATAAGACACTCACACATTTCTGGCATATTTCATGACTAATATTTCCTTTTCAATGCTTTAATATATAAAAATAAGAATAAAAAATGACTTGAAAAATGATATAACTCAAAAGAACTTTGGGAAGAAAAAAAAGGTTTTACTAGTTCATTGATTGTAGGAGTTTTTTTTTGGTAAACAAAAGGGCTAGAGCCCATACAAGCTAAAATAAACTAATGGGGACATGATCCCAAACACTCAGCATCAAACAAGGTCCTTAAATGAGGAGGACAGGAAGCAAAAAGGGAAGATTTAGATAAACCTCCCTTAGCCAAAGCATTGCTCTCTTGCTGTATACTACTTCCCGTCTTTAATATAAGACTTTGTTTGACTTTTATTTTGGTTCTAAATATAAAATCCCAATCCATTTTGTATATAATATTTATGTATTTTTTCCAAGATAGTCCTTCTAACAATGGCTGTTCTAGCCAATACACTTGATTAGCAAGGATATTTTTAGGAAAGACAACACCTATTTGTGACAAATAACTAACTTAACTTCTTTTCTTAATCTTTTCAAATTAGTCAACTAGCTTTTATAATTAGGACCGGAGGTAGTATTTTAATTCAAGGTCCCAAGCATAAGTCGGTATTCTCGTATTTGAAGGCAGAGTAAGCTCTCTAAGTTGCTGCGCGACTCCTTCTTGAACATATCAATTGAACTCTTTGAATCAGATTCTAAAATTACCTTCTTGAATCCAAAATCCCAAGCAAGTTTGAGACCCTTGAAGACAGCCTACTGTTCAGCTTCAATAGTAGTGCAATTACCAAGAAAATGGGAGAAACCTGCTATCCATATGCCTTTACAGTCTCTTAGAACACCCCCACATCTAGCTTTACTCAAAGATGAAGTCATAGCACCATCCACGTTAACTTTTATCCAACCTGAGGATGGAGGTTTCCAAGAACCCCCACTTGTATTAGACAGGTTTGTTCTAGCAGCATCTTGGATCATGACATAATTTCTCCAGCTATTTTCAATGACTACTGCTGGATCAGGATGCTTTTGAAAATCAGAGCCAAACACCATCTCATTCCTCCATAACCATAATTTCCAGGTAGTAACAGCCCATTTTAAATCCCAATTACTATCTTCATGTATTCCCAGCTGTCTCTTTTCAGATTTAAAGCAAACCAGTTTTTTAAGGGAGAGTTGAAGAATTGCGCATAATACTTTGGTTTGATAAGCTGTATCCATAACTGCTCAGCATAAGCGCAATCTCTCATAATATGCATAGCACTTTCCACATGATTGTACGGGTTTTTGTTGATTCAAACAGTTTTCCTCTAATTTGGAATCAAACCATGGACCGATTCATCAGTTTTTGAGTCCAACCGGCCAGCTAGTCTTATCTTTTTATCATTAACATAAGTTAAAAGGATTTATAACAAGAGTTTATAGCAGTCACTTATAATAAGGATTAAAATTTTTATTTAGAAGTTGCCTATAATAAGGACCAGATGGAGTATAGAGTAGAAAAGTCCGTAGTGTTGCATATAATCATAATTATAGCAACTAAGAAAAACATTAAAAAAACAATGCTTATAAAAATATCATTAAGTAATAATTTATGTGTGTGAGTGTACACCACAAACTAGTTTAATATAAACTCAAGAAAAATCATCGAATAAAAAGTACCGTCTCCATCTACATTCGTCACATTAACCGTTAAGAAAATAAAGGTCAATATGGGAAATTGAGCAATATTGCGATGAACTCAGAGGAGTAGCAGAAGTTTTTTTTTTTTTTACTAATATTCTACTTGTGCTTGGAATAAATCAAAATTTGTTGAGTATTTCTAACATGGGGTTACTCTAACTTACATTTTCGCCCCAAAATAATCAATGAAACTCCTATAAATGAACTTAATTTTGAGTGGCATTTTAGGAGAAAACAAGTTCAGCTTGAACAATGTGTTCGCTTCGATGTCAAAGGGAAAGAAAATTATGCTTAGAGATTAAAGAAGTCTTTATATATACATGGCCTTAATCAAGAAGAATATATATCCCTAAGACTTGATATATATATATATATATATATATATATATATAAACAGGTTATATAAGATATGTTTCCGTGCGTAATGTCCTGAAAATATTTTTAATAATTTTGATCTTATAATCTCGTCTTGTTAGGTTGATGATTTGTTAGTTAGGCTATAATAATGAATGCCTTAAACATGTTCCAGATGACATGGTATTTTGCGCAGAAAATTTTGAAAGTCTTTGGGGGTAGGTGTAACAAAATCCTACTATTGTTAATTGTAATAACAAGTCAACCATTTCAACTACTAAAAATATTGTTAATCATGGGAGAGCACCACGCAACACATGAAGATATCTAAAATAGTACTAGTTTATTGGATATGCTGGTAAAACTCAGATTTTTTTTCTTATTTTTGTTGCACATATTAATAACAAGGTTGCTATTTATAGATATATATATATATATATATATCACCAATGCATTTCTAAGGTCAAGCATTTGAATAATTTCTAATAAGAATTAAGGATATGACAAGCAAATGAATAAATTATTCACCTAATTAACTGGGGACAACATGCAGGCAAACAATTTTTCTTGAAGCTCTTAAACGTGAGATGAATCATGGTCGAACTACATTGATACCTGGGTTTCACATTATTGGTGAATCTTATATATGTATGAATTGAGTTTAAGGAAGATATACAACAATAAATAGGAAGTTTGCATATATTGTATATATGTTGATTATCTAAAACCGAACACAGAAAAGCTCAAGAGTTGCAAATTGTCAGAAAAGAATAATGTTGAAGATATATAGCAAAATCATTATATGATAAGTTGCTTCAATTCAGAGTATTAGGTCAATATGTAGAAATTTGTCCTCCTCATATGTAGTTGCCAAAGAATTAATAGTAATACACTCCAAAAGCACGACGTAGTGAATAGAAAAATGTATTCACTCTTTGTAAATATGAATTTTTCATCAGAATTATAATCAATAATGAGGATGCATCTATACCTAATTAATTTTAATCATCAATACATGCACACCAAGCTATATATTCACTTAAAAAACCACCAAAACTTTTTATGTTGTAATTCATATATAGCACAAAGGGCCCTATCGTAGTATCAGATTATATGTATATACAGGATACACCAGGCAGTATTATATGCTTGTTACAAGCACTCAGCAGAAGCAACAGTTAGTCCTAATACACGAAAAAGACAGATCAGTCATAAGCCGCAATTTAATTTGAAACCTTTTGAGTTATGCCTGATGAATATTTACTCTCGCATTTAACATGGAATTCACAAAAGAACCATGGCACCTAAGATTTTTCAAGGAGAAGACAAACAAAAACAAATCTGTCTTAGAAAGAGAAGTTTCATCCAACAATTTAGCTCACATCAATTAACTGAAATTCATCATTTATACTTACAAAGAAACCATGAAAACCTAAATTGTTAAACAATACTTCAATAACCGCTGTACTGTGAAGTATTGCAGACCAGCAAATTTACAAGAGCAAAGCACCGATGATGGCAAGGGGAAGGACAAATTAAGAAATTATTAAAATGTTTCTGTGCTCATGCATTCCTTTTCCTTCCCTCATTATATGTGAAAAAAATTAAGGTATACAACAGACAGCGGGAAATTTGTACATAAACTCACCCAACTTGGCTAATCATCCAGTTAGAAAAGGATAAAAGCTAAAAGCTGTGTGTGTGTGTGTGTGTGTGTGTGGCTCTTCATTCATAACCTGAACATCTCTAAGAAATGAAACTTGCAATTTTCTTTCTCAGCTCAGATAGATCTACACTATTGGAACGGTTAACCTGTAGATCAAATACTAAATGATTAGCTAAAGTAAAATTAGCTTAAATGAAATATACAATATATACATAAAATAAGTATGCACTTTATTTACCTCACAGTGGAGACTATGAAGTATTCTACCATTGACTTGGGTAAAGAGACAAGTAACAACTTCAAGTCCTTCTTCAAGCAGTAATTCCAGCAACTTTGAGAGTAAGAACCTTTCATCTTTGAAGTTACTGATAATTTCGATTCCCACAACACCATTATTCTCATGGACAGTGAAGCTTACCCATTTCTGTTGGCCGTCATCTGGGGTTTCCAAGTTAGAATTATCTGATGAGTGTTTCTTCAGTTCATCTCTCTTATCGTCAAGTTCTTTAATTTTCTTCTGTAGGTGCTTTATATAAGTCACTGCCTCATTCATGTGATCTGATATCGATCGCTTTCCCTGAAATTAAATAACCGCAACATGAGAAAAACTTTCCTCGACTTTGATAGGGTTTTTGGGAAACAAGATTACAAAGTTAATGACCAGAAGAAAGAAGAAGGAGAATAGGAATTCTGTTCACCTTGATGTACTCAAGAGGAAGAAGGGATCTGAGGGAAGCATAAAGGGAAGCCATTTCTTGCCTCCTTTGCCTCTCAATCTCTCTGTGAATCTTCTTCTTCTTCTTGTTTTCGTTGGGACTATTATTATTGCTAATAGCCTGAGAAAGTATATTCCCTCTTGCGGTGTTACCAATTTTTTTATCTGAATTGCTGACACGAGGAGAAGCATAATCATCCAGAATCGGATCTTCTGAGATCTTGCTTTGGTGGTTCTGAGGATCCGGACTCCTGGAAAACTGGATCACCAGCTCATTGCCGCGTTGTAAAGGAAACATGATGATCTCTGTGCTCAATGATATGCAGAAACCTAAAAGTTCTCTAAATTATTCTTGAATTATTGGTGGGAGCGGCTTAAGGCTAAAGGCCAGAGAGAAGCTAGATGATGCGTTTTAAGGGTATATATTCTAATTCCGTAAGGTAACCTAATCAAATGACAAAGATTCCTTCACATATATCATGACAGGAAATCATTTTATGTCATCATTATTGAAACACTGTTCAATTATCCAACCCGACGGCGCCATCCGTTCATGTTCACATCAGTAAACCATTTAACACAGATATTAAGTATTACTCCCTCCGTTCCTTATTATAAGAGACATTTGATGCTTATGGCATGTTCCTATATATAAGAGACACTTACAAGTTGTCTCTACTTTTTTGTGTTGATTTACTATTTTACCCATATTTATTATCTCCAACTCACACTCTCTCTCCCTCCCACTTCTCTTTCTTTTAATAATTTAATTGTTCTCTCTCATGCTCTCTCTCCTTATTAATGAGGGCATTTTTGGAAAAAAATTATACTACATATTAATTGTTCTTAACTAATTTTAACTGTTTTTTGATCAACGTACTTCGGTTATTTGTCTCTTATAATGGAACGGAGGGAGTATTTGCTTTGAACAAAAATTAATCACGTGCAATTGAGGGGGAAAAATATATCATTTAACTCTTAAGTTGTGGCTTGACCAAAAGATCAACTTTCTGACCATATTAATGGGTGATTTATACAATTGCAGCATGATGTTCACATCTCTCTGAGTTTTCAATCTAACACAATTAAAATGGTTTGATCCTTTGTTTGTTTTGAGTGACACAACGACAAGTGCAATCAGATTGGAACAGATGAACAAAATTTCTTCTACACAATCAGACAGGATATCCTCGACTGACCCAAATCTAAATTTTATCTAGCGCATAATTATCACATTGAGACAGATTAACTGAATTAGTGAGGATGAGGGTTACGACGATGTATAAGGGAAACTTTTATATAAATATTAGTCAAAAGTTGTGGCTGATTTAGCTTTAATTTTCATGTGCAAAAGCAAATTAATTAATTAAATAATTAATTACCACTAGTTCTCACAGTACAAATCACCTACTACTTCATCTAAAAGTAACTATTCGGAGTTGTTGACCGTAATTAAGGAATCATTTGGTATTGGGCATTGGCTTAGTAATGCATTCACTCTTGAAATGATCAATTAACTAATAGAAAAATGTGATAAAATTATTAAGACCACGTGCCGTATTTGTCAGCGATATAAATTCTTCTGTTCCTTTTCCTCTATCATTGATTTATTACCACCGGCAAGTTATTTAATTGATTTGATATAATTAATTAAATATTTGGTGCTAGTGGCCCCCAGTAAATAACTCAACAAATAATTAAGGAAAGGAAATTGCCGTGCATAATCATATAAAACATATACTTTTTTATTCGGCTTATCTATCCCATTGTTAAAATATATATTGGGATAATCCAGCGGCTTGATGGGGCACTATTATATATTTTAGTGAATTAAATTCCAATTAAATTGGATTTTCTGTAGATACTGAATGCTGATGGATCAATCGAGAATACATTATTTGGGAGACTACCCAAGCGTTTTAGCCTCTTAGCTAGCCCTGCCTGATATGAGTTGGTATCCTCCTCTTTTTTTTCGTTTTTTTTGACCTTGGAAGTTGGTATCCTTGGTACCATATAAGTAAAAGAATAAACTAATTTGTACGAGTAATTGCCAAGGTTATTTCATTGCCGCATGTATTAATTAATGTTGTTAGGCTCATTTCGGGTCTTTATATATTCGATTATGATAAATTATCATGATCATTGTAATTTTAGTTATTGGATCACTAATGAGAACGATGACGAGAAGATTAAAGAGGACGACACAAGATGGTAAAAGCTTTTACCCACCTTCGGATCCATGTGCCAGCGCGAGTGAGGACTTAAGTGAAAGTTTTATATGAATATACTTGCAAAAGTGTAATTAACAAAGTGAGCTTGTGTGTGTGTGTGTGTGTGGATCTTTATTGTGAAGCATATATATATAATATAAGTAAAAACGTTTAGGTGCCATTCCACCTGTGACAGTAAAGAGGGTGGGGGACATTATTAAAGAAGGCAACCACGAAGTTTTGAGGATCCTCAAAGATCACAAACCCTAACTAACATATCTTCTTATGTACTATCTTTATCTTCATATATTGTCACCCTCTTATATATCATATATACGAGTATAATATATAAACAATACTTTTAGGCATGGATCAAGAGGATCAAAACATATAATTAAATTTCCTTTGCCCCATAGATGTGAGCTGTCTCTGAGATAATGTTGGTCCTTTTAAAAGTTGAGCGGTCATAGTTGTTTTATGTGCTTTTGGATATTTATACTTTGTTTGAGGGTTGTTGGTAACACAATATGACTAAGGGTGTGTTTGGATGAAACCAAACTGTGGTTTGGAAAAGTGATTCTGGAAAATAGATTCTGGGAAGAATAGATTTTATAAAAAAGTGATTTTGAGAAGTGAGAGTGTTTGGATAGTTGTTATCAGAAGCACTTTTTATATATACAAATTACTAAAAAAAAAGAAATAAGTTAATATGATAATTACAGAAAAAATAGATTTTATGATATATTTTAATTTGAAGGAATAAAATTGTTAATAATATTTTTTATTAACATAATTAATAATACATAAGATAATATAATTAATAAATAATTAATATGTATATATATTTATAAAATATAAGATTAAATATGTTTATAAAAAAATATGTTTATAAAAAAATAACAAGATACATATCCTATAGGCTCTCACACTCTCCCTTTTTTCTCCAAAAGCAAAAATTTTTGCTTTTTCCAAAACCATGGTTTTGGTTTTTGGGTGGGTGTTTGGGTGATTTATTCCTCAAACCATGGTTTGGGGTGTTACCCAAACACAGCCTAAATTAATTAAGAGAGTACAAGTCTTGTTAACTAACACCTAGGAAACTATCCCTTAATTTACTTAAACATACACACAATTTGGTTGACTGGCTTTTGCTTTATTATGTAATGATGGGCTCACTACTTTCACTACCATGGATTTTTTAATTTATTGTGGATCCCATAATGTGATATGTCTTCAGGAGACAGAATTTTCATTCCTTGTTTTAATTTTTCTGTTGGTATGAATTTCCCTTAAAAAAGTAATAGAATCCTTCAAAGTAGCAGTAACGTATAATAGTCCTTTCGATTTGAGATAGCAAAATAAATTAGTATTTTTTTAATAAATTATGACCGTTTAATTAAATTAGACAAGCCGAATTTATCGAGAATAACTTTTTTCCTGAAAGTTAAAGAAATGTTATGGGAAATGGCAAGATCCCCTTAATGTTTGTATTCTTTTGGTCCTAAATATAAGACCCTTATACACATTAAGCATAAATGAATACTCCTCTAATCCTAAATATAAAACTCATTTTGTAATGTAAATTAAACTAGAAAATAGATTTTATATTTAGGACTAAATAAATACTGTAAATAACTCTTCCATATGAGATTTAGAATACCAGCCGCTTTCCCCAAGAAGGCGAACTCCAATAAAAAACCAAGTATTTCCATATAATAAATTTAGATTACGACTATCTAAATTAATTGAACAAAAGTTTATTCAAAATGAATCAATTTCATCTTGATTGTAATAAAATTTTGTAATACAAATGTAACCTAATGCTATACTTTTTTGTTTTTCTCCTTCCTTTCCGAACTTATAGTAATTATAATTACTGAAATTCTTAGAAGTAATTATCCTGTATTTGTTTGTAACATATAAATATAAAAGAGTACTTATATATGCATATTCACATGTATATTCATTCACTCTAATCAAATTTGTCCAATTATGACTTAATAGAAATTTTAGATATTTTATATATTTAGCTTTTATTAGAAGATATTTAATATTAATATTAATTTGGTTGTTCTCTTTTATCATTAACTAGAAATTTCTTCCACGTGTAATGCGTGAACCATAATTTTAATTAGGTTTTAAATTTTAATAAATTGCATTATTTGAGGTAGCTCAATATTCACTTTTTATAGGAGTATGACTTTATTTTATTCATTCAAATAGGATTTGAATTAGAGATATAGTATTTAGGGGCAACATATCAAAACTTAAGATTAATTATTTATTTTTCCATTTAAGCCCCTAGTTGACATATTATTTAACCATGATGCTTCCCATTTAATTCCAAGAAGATTAAGAGCAGTCAGGGGAAGGTTATAAATAGATCTTTTAAGCAGATACTGAGAGGCGACTCTTCGAATTCGGAGGGATGGAAGACGGATGGGAACGAGGATGCTGGTGAACCACTAGAGTCAATTAGATCCGAGTTGAAGGTGATCAAACATCATAGGGGTAAGCTAGAGGTTCCAGAGTTCATCTTCTCTGATCGTGCTTTGGAGAAGATCCGTGAGCCCTACTATCAAAGCCTGATAATCAAAGTTTTAGGGAGGAGGATGAGCCTGTCAATGATCACGGATAGATTTCAGAAAATGTGGGCCAAATCTTGAACGATTAAGGTAACTGATCTCTCAAATGACTTCTTTGTAGTGAACTTCTCTTTGCTAGAAGACTATGAGCTAGCAGTCTGGGGGGGACCATGGATGATTTCTGACTATTATGTAACTATGAGGAAGTGGAAACCTAACTTTGATCTGAAGTCTGCTGCAATTGAGGAAGTGTTGGTTTGGATCCGTTTCCCTGACTTGCCTTTAGAATACTATGACGAGGAGATTTTGGAGGTAATGGGGAACGAAGTGGGAAGAACAGTCAAGGTTGACATGTCAACCTCCCTTCATGCTAGGGGAGGGTATGCTCGTGTAGGGGTAGAAGTGGACTTGAGTAAACCCCTTTTACCAGTTTACATTCTCGGTAAAGTAGAAAGGCCTATTGTCTATGAGGGCTTGCATTTGCTATGTTACAATTGTGGGAAATATGGGCATACTGAGAAGGAATGTAAGGAGGAGAAGATCTACCAGGAGCACTGGGAAGATAGAAAAGGAGAGGAGCAGGTGATGGAGACTAGGCCTTATGGGGATTGGACAGTAGTTCAAAACTCTAGAAGAGGGCGTAGAGGAGGTGCTGATAACAGGAAGGGACAAGTAAAGCAGGGAGTAAGTGGTTCCAGATTTGCTAACCTGGCTACTATGGAAGACAAGGAGGATGATAGGGAGATGCATGTGGAGCGCATGCCAATTGTTCAGAACTTCAAAGAATGGGTCAAGAAAAGGAAAAATGTCCTGGTTGAGAAGGTCCCTACTCTAGAACCCATGCAAGTTGAGAATGTTAATGAGGAAGGGGATAAACGTAGCCAAGGAGGAAGAGTAATGAGTAGCCATGTGAGGACTATTTATTTTAAATAAGAATTGATAAATCCTGATTTTAATATCTTATTTGATATCTTTTGGAGATATTTATCAATTAAAATGGGATAAATTGTATTAATTGTGGGTATTTTGAATCAAATACTGATTGCATGAAATTAAAGATTTAATAGAAAATCTTATCATATTTTTATCTCTTTTTAAATAATTGATTTTGGATTTGGTGATAGTATCTCAATTTATCTTTTGCAGACTTTAAAAATAAGGAAATAAAGATAATGGGAAAGCTGAAAGGAAGGAAATAAGGAAAAAAAAGGAAAATTGGAGACACAGTTTGAATGGCATCATATTATGATATTATCTATATTTTTATGGATTCAAAAAGAGGACACAGAAATTATCCTTGCTCCTTCAAATTTGATTCGGATATATCTCCCCTCAAATTTGATATCATCATCAACTTTGGCCTCCATTATTTCTTGTTTCTTTCTGCAGAAATTTTCTACACCCATTCTTTCACCATAGCCTCCATGGATTCTCATTGCTTCAAATATATTGTGGATTCTTCTAGAGCTATGAGAGGCTAATTCCACTGTGCTTCTTGAAGATGGAAGAGTAGCTTGAGCTTGGAGCTTCAACTAGGGGAGTATTTAGTTTTCTAATTAATTTTCTCTTGAACTTCATTAGATTTTTCCTGCGTTAGGATTCTTTTTATTTATTTTGGAGACTGAGATTATGCATTATAATTTTTGTTAATTGCATTTTTGCAGTTTAATTTGAATTGTATTACTTGGGATTTGAATTTATATATATTTACTTTGCACTCATTAAATTTATTTTATCTAACGCGTTGTTAGATTTTATGATTGAGATGTATTGCGATTGAGTGTCTCCGTGAGCATTCTTTAAGAGGAAAACAAGTTTTATTAACTTAATCTAAATTGCACATCAAGTAATTTTTAAAAGTAATTTAATAATTTGATTACTATCTAGCGTTTAGGTTAGTCAAGTGTTAAATTTACTTGACCCAAACTGTGTTTAGGGTTGTTTCTCTTAACTCGGTGCATTATTTTACTCCCACATCTTTATTAAGCAAGGATAGCTATATTCCGTTTTCAAGAAGCATTCTCATGACTGATTTTCTAAAATTCAAATTTGCATTTTTCATTCTTTCTTTATTAAAAATACCCAAAAAATAGTTTAGATTTATTTCTTATTTTCATAATTAGTTTTATTAATTGAAAAATCCTTTTTCAACCCCCCTTTTTATTCTTTGTCACTTAGTCAACTTAGGAATTAATAAAAAGCTCCTCAAGAGACACGACCTGAGTTGTGCTTTACTGCATAATTTGGTTTTATTTTTGATTTAACCCAAGGCGACTAAAAATGTTCAAATCAAGTGGCGCTGTTGCCGGGGGAGCCAAGTAATTGGTTTCTTAGTAAACTAAGTGTCAATTTTTTTCTCTTTATATTTTCTTTGAATTTATTTTTTTTCTCTAGTTTAGGTTGCATTTGCATATCATTAAAAAAAATCCTCATTTTATTTTAATTATTTTATTTTTTTGTCTTATTTGCATATCTTGCATTGCATTTTGCATCTTTGCATTAATCTTCATTCATTTTCGCACATTGCTGTTTTGAATTTCTTTGTGTATGACCAGAGATAAAGAAACCCTACCTGACGATCCTGAGTTTGACATACCTTTGAAACAACTTAAAAGGAAAAATAAGAAAAAGGGTCAAAAGAGTGATAGGGAACTTCTTTTGAAGCAACATATCCCTAGTACACCTAACCAAATATTAGACATGGCTGATCGTATTGAGAATGCGGGTAATGGTGAAAATAGTGGAAATGGAAATAGGGGCAATAGGGACAATAATGGTCATGGGGAAAATAATGGGCCTAGGAATAATGGTGAAGATCAGATGAGTCTTAGAGAAATAAACAACTCTACTGTGAACTTTGATCCTCATGGTTTTTACAATTTTAATACTAATTTTGAAATTAAAGGTAATTTGATTAATGCTTTGCCTAAATTTTTTGGCCTTTCAGGAGATGACCCCTACGGACACATTGAGACCATGATGATGGTGTGTTCCACCATGAAGCCCCAAGGTGCTAATGTCGAGGAAGTTTTGAGGAGAACCTTTCATTTCACCATGGAAGGAAAAGCTAAAGAATGGTTAAGAACACTTCCTCAGCACTACACTACACTTACGTGGGAGCAACTCAAGACTACATTTCTTGAAAAGTTCTTTCCTGCATCCCGGTCTTCTAAGCTTAAGAAAGCTATTTTTGGTGCACAACAAGATGAAGGAGAATCGTTTTATGAATATTGGACCAGGTTTCTTACCATGATGGCTCGTTGCCCTAATCATCAGATTTCCAAATCTAATTTGATTCAATATTTCTATGAGGGTCTTTTACCACTTCATCATAGAACAATTAATGCTGCTGCTAATGGTTCGATACTCGATCTCACTCCACAAGGTGCCTCGGACTTATTTGAGAAAACTGCTACAAATGATCAACAATATGGCACTAGAGACAAATAGTTTGTGAGGGAGGTAGCTTCTTCTTCTACTACTGATGAATTGAAATTATTTATAGAAAAAATTGACAAAAGACTAGAGAGGCTAGAAAATGACAGGGGCCCAAAACAATGTAATGCCATGGGTACTTCTCAAGCCCTGGTAGCCTCAAGTTGTGAATTTTGTGCTTCCCCTATGCATCTTAGCAGTGTTTGCCCATCCAGAATTGAGGAAGTTTCTGCAATGTATCAAGGTCGCACTAACAATCAGAAATGGGACCCATATTCCAACACATACAATGAGGGGTGGAGAGACAACCCTAGATTTAGTTGGAGGAATAATGAGGCTAGAGGACATAATCAATTTTCACAAGGCAATGTTGGATCTGGTATTCCTTCTAACCAGTTTCAAGACACCTCAAGAATGGTTATTCCACTCCAAGATAATTCACTCTCTCAACCCAAGAGTGATGAGACCAGTCAACTTCTGAAGAGTATGTCTGCTCAGCTTAATAATATGGATAACCGATTAAGGGAAGATAAGGCCCTGAATGACAGCCAATTCTCCTCTATTGCTCGATTCTCCAAAAGATACAGGGTGATAAGGTGAATGATAGTGCTCAATTAACAAACCTTTGTAAAAGGTTTGAGGCATTGGAAATGAAGAATAACACTTTGACATCTCACCTAACTCAAATTTCCAACACTGTGAGCGAATTGCAAGCTAAGAATGGGGGTGGACTACCCTCAAATACTGTGATCAACCCCAAATCCCTTAATGCCATCAATCTAAGAAGCAAGAGGGTAGTCAAGTTTTCTGATGAAGATGATGAAGTTGATGAGGAAATTGAATGTGATAGCCTTCCGTTAACTCCTATGAAGCTGGAGCACTCCGAAAGCGCCAAGAAGAAAGAACTGATCAACAAGAATGCTAAACTTACTCAAGATGAAACAAGGTCTACCGATGGGCCAGGATCTCAAGTGGCAAGTCCACCACTTCTGGAAGAGATCAATGAAAAAGCTCCAACCACACATGAGAAAAGTGAATCAACCATGCAAGGAGCCTTAACAACAAAAGGTAAAGAGGTAAAAATTTGGGAAAATTCTAATTAAATCCATTTGAAATAGCAAAATTCTAATTTAAGCCTACACTTTTAACAAATTCTTAATTAGGCCAAGAGGCCTGACTGGAGATTTCTAAATGTTGCTAAAAGACCAAAATGCCCTTCATAATTAAAAAGCCTAATTTTAGTTTTAATTCTTTTAATTGAATTTAACTAACATGTTTTTTTTCTTTAAACATTATCACATGAAAATTTGGCCAAAAAAATTATCATATAAAAAAGAAAAAAGAAAAATAACGATTATAGCCAATAAAAAATAATTGAAAATTCAAGATAAAAAAATATATAATTTCTAGATATCTATAGAATTGCAAAAATATGGGAACTAATAAAAATTTTACGATTTCAAATGTAAAAGATTAACAAGATCAAAGATTTTTTTTTTGTGTGAGAAAAAGACCAAATCAAAGATTCATGGAATTCTTGAATATCTATCAAAATTAATTTTACTATTTCACAACTTACAGTGAGACTCATTAATTCATCTTCAATTTTCTGGTCTTCAACATTTATTCAATATCAAATTTTTATTATATAAAAAAATAAAAGGCTATAAATTCTAGAGTTGACATAAGGTTCACAATTACAAAACACACATTTGACATAAAATCTAAGAAAGACCACGTTCTCATTAGTAAATCTACTAGAATAATTAAAACTAAAATTAGATTTACACCTACATTCAATTTTTCTTTTTGATTACAAAGAGGCATTCCGGTCTTTTAGCAACATTTGAAAATCCCTAATAAGGCCTCTTAGCCTAATTAGGAATTCGTTAAAAGTATAAGCCTTAATTGGAATTTCATTATTTTAGATAGATTTAATTGGGATTTTCCCTAAAAATTTTTGACATTCCCTTTCCTAATGCTTACTTTAGAGGTAAGAAATTGCATGATGATCAAACCCAAAAGGAAATGATTGAATTCTTTAGTAAGCTAGAAGTCAATATGCCTTTTCTCAACATGATTAAAAGCATGCCTGCATATTGTAAGTTTCTAAAGGATTTGTGCACTCACAAGAGAAAGTTTAGGCCTAATGAAAGAGTTCAACCGAGCTCTAATGTGTCAGCTATCTTTAAGCCTCAACTTCCCATAAAGTGCCAAGATCCCGGTGCCTATACCATTCCTTGTACCATTGGACCAATGAACATAGCCGCTGCACTGCTAGATTTAGGAGCCGTGATTAATGTAATGCCTAAATCTGTTTACATCGCCTTAGGAATCAAGGCAGTCAAACCCACCAGTGTTGTGTTACAGTTAGCTGATAGGTCCATTAGGCACCCTGATGGTATCTTAGAGGACATATTGGTTAAAGTGAAAGACCTTGTTTTCCCAGCTGATTTTTATGTCCTAGATGTGTCTAATGAGTTAGCTAGTGAGTCTACTCTCATCCTAGGTAGGCCCTTCCTTAGAACAGCAAATACCATTATCGATATGAAAGAAGGTGCCATAACCATGGAGGTTGGGAATCATAAGATATGCTTTAACATGTATGAATCCATAAAACACCCCTATGAGGATTACTATTTGTTAGGTGTTAATGCTATTGATTTGGCTATTGAAGCGGCAAGGGATGATTTTGAATTGAATTTGCATGATGATAACTACTTGCCTATGCTTGTTGAACATGATTCTTTTGAGCTTGATGATGACATGTCTGCTTATGATGAGTATTTTTCCTCTCTTCCTTCTATATACTCTCATTTTGATACTTGTGATAGCGACATGATATATTCTAATTTTGAGATTAGTAGTACCCTCTCTACTTCACAGGTTTATACCTTTTCTCTCTTTGATACTGACTCTGCTTTTGCAAGTGACCTTGGTTTGGGAAAGGATTTGCTTCTTGAATGTGCAGATACTTTTATGGAATCTGATATTGTAGCTGAAACTGATGATGTTGGCTCAACAGAGAGGCCAATTCCATCTAGCTCCCCTACTCATGTCTTTGATCAACAACCAAGG